AACTTGTTAGAAGACGATGTTTCGGTATGTGTTTTTCGTAAACGCCACAAAGACTTAGAACCATTTTTCAATATGGAGAATAACTTGGTTTTCTGCAGTAACATTAACGGCTTACTGGCGGCTTTAAATATAAACTATAACCCAGAAGAATGGAGATTGTTTATAGACAGTTCAACATTGAGTTTAAAGGCAGTGTTATTGCATATTGGAAATATTTTACCATCTCTTCCTGTAGGGTATGCAGTTCACATGAAAGAATCATATGGCAATATGAAGTACCTATTGACATGCATAAAATACGATGAGCACCAATGGCATATTTGTGGCGATTTGAAAGTTGTTGCACTTTTACTTGGGCTGCAGCTAGGCTACACAAAGTTTTGCTGTTTTTTGTGTGAATGGGACAGTCGGGCAAAGGCACTTCATTACACCAGACAAAACTGGCCTGTTCGTCAATTCCTAGAGCCAGGTCAAAAAAATGTACAGCATATGCCATTAGTAGATTCGAAAAAAATTTTATTACCACTACTGCATATCAAGTTGGGCCTAATGAAAAACTTTGTCAAGGCATTAGATAGAGATGGGTCAGCTTTTCAATACCTGCGTCAGAAATTTCCAAGACTAAGTGAGGCAAAGGTTAAAGAAGGTATTTTTGTTGGTCCACAGATTCGAAATATTTTGAAAGATACACAGTTTGAAAACACTTTAACAGGTATTGAAAAAACTGCTTGGAATGATTTCCGTCTGGTGGTCACTAATTTCTCGGGAAATAGAAATGCTGACAACTATAAAACCCTTGTCAAAAATATGCTGTCATCGTATCAAAAGATGGGCTGTAATATGTCTCTTAAGATACATTTCCTACACTCACACCTGGACTTTTTCCCTGACAATTGCGGAGCCGTAAGTGATGAGCACGGCGAACGTTTTCATCAGGATATTTCAACAATGGAAAAAAGGTACCAGGGAAAGTGGAATCCTTCCATGCTTGCAGACTACTGTTGGACTCTTGGTAGAGATGCTCCAGAAACGATCCATAAAAGAACAGCAAAAAGACAGCGCATATAGTGATTCTTATAAGTATATGAATCTTGTTACTTTTTTTAATATATCCTTAAAAATAAATTTTTTTTTTCTAAACTGCAACTAATTTTTTCATTTCTTTGTCATTTTTGGATTCAGCGCCCCAAAATTAACAAAGAAGTGCACTTTTCCCACAAGATACAATTCAAAAACTAAAATTTGTTGTCCAGTGTTATTAGCTTCTTCTAATTCTAACAAGTAAACCTTTTTTGTTGTGGAAATACGAGAGAATAAGATTTTTCGATCAGTTGTTGTATACAGGGTAGCACAAAAAAGTTATGATAAGTTATTTACCGAAATAGTGCTGTAAGTGGCGCGCTCTAGAAGCTTGGAGGCAAAAAAATAACGCATTCTTGTTTCTCGTACTAGAAAACCTCCCTATACCGAGTTTTATGCCAGAATCTGAAATACTTCTCAGCAATAAGGAAAAATAGAAAATAAAATTGTAACTTTGACACCCTGTATCTCGCTAAGTATCAACTTTTGGACTAAGGTATGTTTAGGTCAATACACATATTTTGGTCTATAGTATCTCTAGTTTCGAGATTTCCCAACATTTCGCAATATTCCTAAATATTTAATTGATAAAACATTTTCAATTATTTCACCATGTATCCTAAATGTGATAGTATGGGGTTGTCCAAAACGCATGCAGGAAAGTAAACGCATATTAAAACAAGAAAGATTGATGATCAAATCAATTTGGGTACTTTATTTTGAAGGTTTATTTATACCATTTATGTATGAAAAATAATATCGCTCAAATGTTCACCACGACTGGATTTACAGACGTCTACGCGATGGTCGAAATTTTCAATGACATTTTGCAACATGGTCGGTTCTATGGCATTTATCTCGGCAATGATGTTGTTTTTGAGTTCTTGGAGGGTGGCTGGTTTGTTGACGTAGACTTTGCTTTTCAAATATCCCCATAAAAAGAAAAGTCCAAGGGAGTCAAATCGCACGATCTTGGTGGCCATGGCACATTTCCTCTGCGCGAAATCACGCGATCACCGAAGAAGGACTGCAATCGATGGATATTGACGTTGATTGTGTGGCATGTTGCACCGTCTTGTTGGAAATAAACATCGTCCATATCCATTCCTTCAAGTTGCGGCAAAAAATAGTCCTCTATCATCACGTGATATCGCTCAGAATTGACGGTAACGGCGTCCCCGGCCGCATTTTCGAAAAAGTAAGGTCCGATGATGCCTTTTGACCACAATGCATACCACACTGCGTCAATTGGTTCTTGTAGGCGTGTACATTCAAATCCTAGTGGAGAATGCGGAGCAAACTGGTTCTCGAAATGCCCAATTCTTGGGATCGACGCGTTGTTGATTGTTTCGGATCGTCTCTCACACTCTCCTTCACAACAGCAATATTTTCCGGTGTGCGAACGCTCCTTGGCCGGCCAGAGCCTGGCACATTTGCCACAGAACCTGTTGCCTCGAATTTACGCACCAGACGACCGATGGTTGTTTCGTTTGGGCGGTTGTTGCGACCGAAATTTGTTTTTGCACCATTTTTCTAGTGCTCTTGAATAACTTTAATGCGGTATTCAATCGAATACGACTCCATAGCGATCAATGGTAAACATTCAACTAACAAAATGACATGTCGGTGACAGAAAACAAAGATGGGGTCTATGTCAAATTCACGTTTACTTTCCTGCGTCCCTATTGGACAACCCATTATTTTCATTTGGATATTTCCCTGTTAACATACATTTTGTTTTAGAAGTATTCAATTTTAGTTTATTTACATTTAACCAATTTACCATTTTTGACAAGTCAGAATTTAGCATTAATATATTAATGAATCATCTGCAAATATCTGAATTTTACAATAATCTAAAATATTACAAATGTCATTAATGTATAAAATAAATAGTAGTGGACCTAGTTTACTACCTTGTGGTATACCAACAGAATATTTTTTATTTATCTCTGTCAATATTCTCAACACTGTTTTTTTAATTCCTTCGAAAATTTTTAATATTGCTCGGAAAGAGCATAAAAAAATCCTATAAAATGGCGAAAACTGCAGATCTTTATTCGTTATGGACATATAATGAAAAATATGCTTAAATTACAATTTTCAAGTACTACAAGCTATGAATTATTATGTACAATATATAAATATGATACGATTTCGAGTTTTACTTGAAAATTTATTTATACGCTCTTTATAAACCGATAGGGGTCGCAAGTGTTGGCTGATATATGAAAAAGACGTACCTCAATTTATTATACAGGGTTTGTCCGGGAAGTAATAGGACTGAGTCGATTTAAAAAAATTTATTGAGCCAATCGTTACAATTCTTTAAAAACTTTCAAAAATAGGTTCCTAGGAACGCCCATTACCGAATCCAGTCGGTGCGCGCATGCTCCAAAGTAAAGTCATGGCGGAAGAAAATGGGTCCTATTACTTTACGGACAAACCCTGTACTTAATAATTTAACACGGTTGACTTTGGAATATGATGGAATCAAGGAAACACTGAGTTCCTACTGCTTGTGATAGTTATATCTTGTAACAGTGCAAATTGTGAATTGTTTTATATCCATTGTAATATTATATACAGGGTGTCCGCAAAGTTGGGGTTTTCCTTTTCAGAAACAACTATCCTTGAAATAACAAAGGTAATGTGTAGTGAAACGAGGGCTACCAAGTAAAAAAAAAATAAAGGAAAAAGTACTCACTCTCCAGTTGACGAGAAGGGCTAAGTACGTCTCTGCCCGAAATCATACCGCTCCAACAGAAAATGAAATCAGCTGATGCGCTACCGAGCAGACGCAAGCAAACAAGGAAGGCAAAATGTTGCGTAAAGTCTAAGTATTGCATCCTGTCCAATCATACAGCCCCTCTTCACGCAGCGTTTGCCACACTTTAGTTTTTGATACTTGCACTTCTCCAGCCACGTCTCTAGTGCTTGTTAAGGGATTCTCGTCTACGCGATTACCTCTACACGCGTGACCGTAACCGTCGGTTGAAGGTTGCATACTGACCTGACACACTGACCCCGACCCAGTTCTGTCGTCAGTTTGAGCTAGTGTCCTAGTACCAGTCGGGGATGTCGCGGCTACAGGACGGTATTCAGATATTTTTGATGTTGCAGAGCCCTTTATCTCGGTTCCCTTAAGACATTGGTGTATATGGTACTAAGAAAAAATGCTTATGTTTTCAAGATCTACACGTCGTGTAAAGGAAAACCCCAACTTTGCGGACACCCTGTATACACCTTTCCTTGTTTTTTCAACATTTACGTTGAATGATAATTTTGAGTCAACAACAACTCCCAAGTCCTCGTAGTTTATAAAGATCTAACGTTGCTACTGTAAGAATAAGTAATAGGAGAACGAGATCGACTAAATGTACTTTTGCATCATTTTAAAGTAAAACCACCAATGAGAAATATGGTATAAGTCTTTTTGCAACAATTTATCTAAAAATCCTACATCAACTGCAAATAAAAGAATTTCACTGACCCCGACCCAGTTCTGTCGTCGGGTTGAGCTAGTGTCCTAGTACCACTCGGGGATGTCGCGAGTCGCGGCTACAGGACGGTATTCAGATATTTTTGATATTGCAGAGCCCTTTATCTCGGTTCCCTTAAGACATTGGTGTATATGGTACTAAGAAAAATTGCTTATGTTTTCAAGATCTACACGTCGTGTAAAGGAAAACCCTAACTTTGCGGACACCCTGTATAGCGGCTATTACGGTTAAAACACAGTATTAATAAAACCCAGCGTGCCATGATATTCTAAAACAGAAACAAAAGCTACAGCTACAAAAAAAACTAAATACGGCCATTTACGAATATCTTTCCGATCGAACGCGAAGATGCATTCCGTATTACGCCGCCTTCGATAGGATGTATCTCTGATCCGTATTGAAGATTGTTCAATTTACCTTGGAAGCACGAGCTGACGACGGATGAGCCGGTCCTCTTCTTCTTCCTGCGCTTCCGTTTCGCCTCCTCCTTCCTCCTTTGCAGCTCTTTTTCGCGCGCCTCGGCGTCCATCTGATCTCCGCTGTCCGAGGCGCTACCGCACGTTGTTCCCCCACCACCACTCATGCCATTCGCGCTGCCCAGGCTGTCTCCGGCACCTCCACCGCCCATCATCCCGCCTCCGTTGATCGCCATCGGGGATGTAGGGATGGAGTTGCACAAACCACCGCCTCCAGGACCGCCGGGGCTGCAACTGCTCGACGAGTCGCCGACGCCGTTGCAATCTGCAACAAACGGACAAGTTTACGTTGTTTTATTTAGGCTCGACCTGATCGTTAGCAAGCTTTTTACAAAACAATGGCAATCTATTTGAACGCCTATCGTAATATACAGGGTGACAGGTAAATAGGTGTAAAACATTTTAGGAGGTGATAGTACAGCTCCTTTGCTATCAAAATTAGTATATAATACCATACCCTGTATTCAAAGGTTAAAAAGTTATGGAAGATTTATTTTTTTTAAAAAAACAACCCAGATTACAGAGTAAAATAGTTGAGATAAAAAAAAGTTGGTGATTAAACATTCTTTTTTTGGTGGTTTCAGGTTATTATTTAAATAAATAATTCTCATAAATTAAAAAACATATGAAAACACTACTGAAAACGTATTTATTTTCATTTAAATGTTAAATGAAAATTTTTAGTTTCAACTTTCACAAACTTCCTCGTTTCATTAGGTTTCTAAAATGGTATAATAACATATCAGTAAGTAAACCATTTAAAAAAACAATATTACTTTGCTAGAAAGGACCGCTAAGCGCATTTCATTGTACTGAGCAGGTAAACCGAGCCTTTCATGGTTCGACCCTTTTTGTTATTTTTTGTGCCCTGTGCCGTTATTCGGGTTTAAGTATTCGGAATCTGTCGTCGCTCCTCGGAAGCAAGCTCTGCGTATGAATTGACACAGCTGACGGATCAAGGAAAGGGAACTAACGCTTAGCTTAGTTAGTAGAATATCAACCTGTAACGCGGTAGGACGTACTTTTACTTTTTTGATCAGTTTTAATAATGGCGAGTTACCGTAACGAAGAATACGCTGATATTCTGTTTTGTTATGGTTTAAGTGATGGAAATTCCGTTGAAGCCAGGCGAGAATACGAAAACCGTTTTCCGAATCGGCGAATACCGAGTCATCGAGTATTTGCTTCTGTGTAAAAATGCGTCAAGGAAAGTGGACAGGTTCATGAGAGACGTCATGATGCTGGTAGACCTCGGTTGTTTGACGACGAAGATCAAGAGGCAATACTGGAATGCTACGGCAGAGACCTGACGACGTCTACACGAGTTATAGCAAAGCAGCTTGGTTTAACTCGGTGGAAAGTTTGGTTCGTTTTGCATTCGGCGAGACTTTACCCTTTCCATTACACACCGGTTCAAGTATTAGAAGAAGGAGATCCAGCAAGAAGAATTGATTTTTGTCGATACATGCTTCATCGGGATCAAGAAGAAAACGACTATTTAACTAAAATATTGTGGACCGACGAGTCTAAGTTTGACAGCGAGTGGACAACAAATTATCACAACCTACATTATTGGGCCCCACGAGAGGCAAATCCCCACATGGCAAAGCCAAGAGCCCATCAAAGAAGATTTTCGGCAAACGTGTGGATGGGAATCATTCATACGTATCTAATTGGACCAGTTTTTTTGCCTGACAACCTGACTGGCGAATCCTATGAAAACTTTTTGAGATCCGAACTCTGGGAGTATCTCGAAGACCTGCCTCTGAATATCAGGATGCAGATGATCTACCAACACGATGGCTGTCCCGCGCATTTCCGTCTGGGTGTTAGACAGTGGCTGGACGAGAAATATCCTTGCCGCTGGATTGTCCGAGGTGGACCCACACCGTGGCCAGCGAGGAGCCCAGATTTAACACCGTGTGACTATTATTTATGGGGGCACATGAAGTCACTGGTGTAAGCTGAGCCCGTAGACACTCTTGCACAGTTGAAAGAAAGAATTATTGCTGCTGCTGACACTATCAGAGGACAACTAACTGGCCGCATCACGCGTACCAATATGAGAAAAAGAGTACGGGCTTGCATAAGAAACGGCGGGCGTCAGTTCGAACAACAATTGCAATGAATTTTACCTTCATTTCATTATTGTATCTTACTTACCAATTGTAGTAACTTTTAGTCAGTTTTTATTATTCTGTAGTACAATTACAACTGTGTACATAATCTAATCGTGTAACTTAACCGTAGTTTAAAATAATAACTATCCCATAGCTTACATTTACATTATTTTCACAAAAACACTTTCTTATCAATCAGAGAGTTGTGAAAATAGGAGACAAGCCATTGGTAAATTTACTCCCTATTGTTGTGTTACGATACATTATTTTTAGTTTCACACAGTTTTTGTGCACTTATCATACCAATTCAGATTCCTTATGAAACAAGGATATTATTTAAATTGTTTGTACGTTTTTTGTATACTGATTTTTTTGTAAACATCTTACTTATTGTAAAACGTTATTTGTTTTTCTTAGTTTGAATTTGAACTTGAATTGAATTTTTGAATGAAAATAAATACGTTGTTTGGTATTGTTTTCGAATCTTTTTTAATTTATAATAGTTAATTATTGAAATAATAACCCAAAGTTTGACGCATTCAAAAATGCCGTTTTGGATCTGCCAGCAAACGAGTGGATTGGTTCGAGCGCATGCAGATGTGTATTAATCTTCGTGGAGAATACTTCGAAAAACAATAAAGTCATTTGAAACTACCTACCGTGTTGTTTTATTTTCATATGCAAAACTTAAAAGACATCCCTCGTATGCATCCAGCATAATCACATAATTTTACATCAAGCATTTGTTTGCATCGCCTACTTGAGTACAATAAAAAAAAAACAAAAAAACACATTTTTCCAAGAATATAAATGTAACATGTGATACATCGTTGGTGAAAAGATGGTATTAGATACATGGAGTACTTTTTCGGACCCGATAATAAAATAAAGTGATGATGACTTCTCAATAACGAAACGTCGGGTCCAAAATTTAAAAACGTCGTGTAGTGTCAGAAAATTTTATTATACAGTGGAACCGCGATTATCCGAAATCCGCTTTGTAACGAAACAGATGGCATACAATAATTTCTCCGTTTGAACCGAAGTTGTTCGGGAAATCGGCACATAATGCGAAATATCCACCGGTAGTTCCCCTTTCGGCGTTTGCGTCATCAGATTCGCTGCTGGTACGTGTGCGCGTATGTTTGTTTCAGCTAGGTTCATAATCGCTAAGATGGAGCAGCATAGAAATAAACGTAAACGCGTTGTTATTACCAGACGACAGAAACCTGAGGCAATCAGACGTTTAGATAGAGGTGATTTGCTTAAAAACGTGGCAAGTGAATAGTCCTTATTTGATCATGGTTCTTTAATATCTTTTAACTACATTGCATTTGTATATGATAAAGCAACTAACGGGAAGTATTTTATAGAAAAAATGAACAATGTATAACTTCATTTGTACATGCAGCTAAAGACCACAGATGAAAATGTTCGTTTTTTTTAAATTTAAGAAAAAATTCAATATCTCAAAAACTGTTATACAGGGAGTCCGCAAAGTCGGGGTTTTCCTTTTCAGAAACAACTACCCTTGAAATAACAAAGGTAATGTGAAACGAGGGCGACCAAGTAAAAAAAAATAAAGGAAAAAGTACTCACTCTCCAGTTGACGAGAAGGGCTAAGTACGTCTCTGCCCGAAATCATACCGCTCCAACAGAAAATGAAATCAGCTGATGCGCTACCGAGCAGACGCTGGCGGTGGTGCAGACCACGAACAGAGGTAACAAATATGACGGCGTTGCCGCGTTTTCAGTTTTTAGGTAAACGTACTTTATAGGTATTGTTCGAAGTTATCGCCGTTTGATTCAAAAACACAGGTGCGTGCACGACGTAGCCAAGCATCGGTGCAGGCTTTGAGAATGGAGTCCCTCGCCCGAATGAAAGCACCAGCTTGTTCAATTCGGAGACGAAGTTCGTCAACCGTATGCACTTCAGTTTTGTACACTAAGCGTTTCATTTCTCCCCAAAGAAAAAAATCACATGGTGTTAAGTCTGGAGATCGCGGAGGCCACGCTACGGGTCCATTACGTCCGATCCATCTATTCGGAAATAATTCATTCAAAAACTCACGCACTTCGCGTCTAAAATGGGGCGGTGCACCATCGTGCAGAAACCACATTGATTGTCTTACACTTAATGGCACATCTTCTAACAAGGAAGGCAAAATATTGCGTAAAAAGTCTAGGTATTGCATCCCGTCCAATCGATTTGGGAGAATAAATGGTCCAATGAGCATACCGTTCACCATGCCAGCCCAAACATTCACCGAAAATGTTTGTTGAAAATGTGCCCGACGGACAGCGTGCGGATTTTCTACTGACCAAACATGAGTGTTGCGAAAGTTATTCACCCCATTACGCGTGAACGTAGATTCGTCTGTCACCAATATGCACTTCAAAAAGTCATGTTGATGCAAAACCGCACTCTTGCTGGAAAATCGTCAGGTTGAAGGGCTTGTACACGTTGGACGTGAAACGGATACAGCCCCTCTTCACGCAGCGTTTGCCACACTTTAGTTTTTGATACTTGCACTTCTCTAGCCACGTCTCTAGTGCTTGTTGAGGGATTCTCGTCTACGCGTTTACCTCTACACGCGTGACCGTAACCGTCGGTTGAAGGTTGCATACTGACCTGACACACTGACCCCGACCCAGTTGTGTCGTTGAGCCAGTGACATTGTACCACTTCGTGATGGCGCGGCTACAGGACGGTATTCAGATATTTTTGATGTTGCAGATCCCTTTATCTCGGTTCCCTTAAGACATTGGTGTTTATGGTACTAAGAAAAATTGCTTTATGTTTTCAAGATCTACACGTCGTGTAAAGGAAAAGCCCAACTTTGCGGACACCCTGTATAAGTAAGTTTTTGTTAAAGCCTACCTTCTCCTTAACTTTGTTGTGGTACTTATTGGACACCCTGAAGATATATACTCACTTAACACACGCATTTACTTTTCTCAATAAAAGCATTATGAGTCTAAATATTTATTTCCGTTTTATCCGAAATTTCGATTATCCGAAAGCACGTATCCTTATCTTGGAGATCCTGTATAGAATTTTTTAGTTACACATATTCGTAGCTAACTTTTTCCAAGGGCTAACTTGGGCCGAACATGATCCTGATGGCAGCGTTGTGGGAATCAG